TCTCATCACCCTCAATTTGAGTGGATGGTGTCTTTAATTTTACTGCATATCTTCAAATGCGTTTGTCTGTGATAGGCTGAACTTGTTACACCATCTTGTAAATTTCTTCAACTACATGTGTTCTGATTATAACTGATTTTAAACAGCTATTTGTCTCATGAAAACTTATAACGCAGCAGGAATTCATTTTCTTGTCCAATTTTGTTGTTAATTGTTGTTCGGAATTTTAAATATTATTCTAGATTTTGCTTTGTTCAATATATGAAAGCTGCGCGTCACCTCTTCTCAATAGTGGCTTGCACTGGTCATCACGGAAAGCGTTAGAGTAAACTTACGCTTTATGATAGCTTGTTCGCATATCATTCTAAGGTTGTTTGAAGCGAATGACTGCTAGTTAAAAATAAACCACCCTCACTTGATATCACATGCTCGAGGTATTGTAAGCCATTCCTCACCGTAGTTTCGTAACGGACAAATTCCACACTGCTTCAGATTAAGCGGCTTATTATCATAACTTATAATAACGGGCTAAGGATGTTTACGTGACTTTGTGTGTCTGTCTGTGTGTGTGAGAGTGTGTCTGTTACGAAATTCGTAGAGCGTGTCCCAGCCACCTCCTAGGCTCAAATTTTGCACAGCGCATGTTACCCGCATGAAAGTCCAACATGCAAAAGCACGAGCAGATTCGTTGAGTGAATCCCTCAGAAACTGCGTGTCAAGCGGATCCACTTTGCATTTGGGCCGCAAAATTGGGTCCGTAATTCCACTTTTTTAGAGACGTAGATGTGTTTGCCAAGTAAATGTGCAAGCCATGAACTTAGGCTCAAAAAAATGATCAAAAGTTCATTACTTTACAAAAACGGCGCCAAAAAGTATTGGTTGCGTAAATGGTCAATTTGACAATGTTTTACCAGACCATTTGACTAGATTTTTGCACAGAGATGTAGCTCACGGTGACAGCTGTTCTTATAGCAACTGTAAAGACCATGTAAAAATCAAAAACCTATAAAAATTTGCACTTGCTTTCCTGCAAAAAGTCTCATCCACGCGAAATCACCGATTTCACATAAAAAAGCTTTCGGAATGAGTAATTGTTTACATTTCGTTCGTGATAAACGGCATTGCTGGGTGAGTTCCAATGCCATCATTATGCGAGAATGAGGGGTGTATGCCAAGATGAACGATAGCTGGAAGTAAGCATACTGTACTCCTGCGGTTGTCAATATGCCGCGCATAAAGTGTTATTTTTCAGAGCGAAGCGTTCTTCAATGGATTGAAAATGGTGTGGAACCGTAAATATTAGGGCTTACCGAGCTCGTAGCGTTTTTTTCAAATTCTTATATGTCGTTATAGCGTAAATATAAAATTTGAAATATATTTGATCTACGCAACGCACATGGCTGGCACAAGCTATCGTTCATGTTGGCTGCCCCCCAGAATGAGTAGGCCCTAGATAGTAGAGCAGTGCGAGCCTCTGCGAAGCAGAGGTGACGCACTGGTAAGTCATAATAGTTACTGCATCAAAACCTAAATTGATCAAAACAGAAACTGAATGACCAGTCTATTTTGTGATGACTGTCTTTCCATTCTGACAGGAAAATTTCCAGTGTAGAGACTATGCATGGTCTTGTGCAGCTGTAAAATTTTTGTAATGAAAAAGCACATCATTGATTAGCTTTTGTCAGTTTTAGATTTGAACAGAGATGGAAACGTAGCAGGTTGTATGCGAGGAACCTTATTCATTGAAAGACTTTGGAAAGCAATACTCTTATGAAAAATTTGATAAGTCAAGGACTCTGTCAAATGTCGCCAATGCCCTAATCTGAAAGTTGTTTTTTGTAATTCTTGCCAGGTGGACTACATCACACTACGGACACGGCAAAAATAAGAATCTAGTCAGTTCGCAGTAGCCATATACAAACTTATTAGCAGTCATTTGAAACAAACAAATGCCGTTTTGGCTATATTTGTCCAAAAGGCTGATGCTCTGAAAAATTGCTTGAAAAATACAGATATCGCAGAAATGAAGAGTCAAAAGGAGAAAAATCACATTACCTGCTCCTGTCACGTGTTGTCAAACCAGTCATACCGTGCCCCTTGTTCAGGTTTTAAAATAAGTCAACTATCAGTTTTCGTACCATTGTCGTTGTTCGCGCTGTGCGCATTGGATATCACGCCATGTACCTTTTGCTACCTTCTTTTATAATATCAAGCCTAATATTTATTTCGCCGACATTTAGTTATAACGTCTTGGCTGCTTGAGACTATAACGGAGTGAAGGTTTACAATTGTATACAATGCGCACAACCTTTGAAACCTATGCGTTGCCAAACATCAGCTTTCATGTTCTGCCAGTCAAGTAGAACTTATAAAATTCCTATATTGATAAATTTGTCATCATTGAGAGTAATTGATTTTTTGTAATTTTTGTAAATTTTGATCAAAGCTTTTTTGTATTAAGTGGAAGGCTTATGTTCAAATGATATCGATCTATCGGGCTAACGTTTGGTCACACCATCGTCTTTAAAACCCTAGAATTGGCGAAAACAATTTGCAAACTACCCGGTCAAAATTTTTTTCTTATAAGCACTTCCAGTCACTTTTTGAATAACAACCAAACTGCCTCACGCAATAATCACCTTTTTGATGACGCTCTGAGAGCTGAAAAATTGCCAAGTTCTTACTAATTGCATATGTGGAATAATGATGCCTTCGCCCGGTCGGAAATCTGACCTCGTGGCGCTACCGCGCAGTAGACAGACGTTGTCACCTGCACTTCAGTTCGAGACTTATATAATAATTCCCGAATTTTTTTTCAAGTGCCGCAAGCGGATGACCGACGTTCCTACTTTCACTTTAGAACTTACTGGCGCTTGCTGCTGCGTGTGATGTTGCATATGGTTTGTGCGATAACTTATTTTCACTGCCAATTAGATTAATTTGTGAAATTAAATCAAAATTCAAATTCGCCCATTTTCTTGGTTATGTAGATCCGCAATCGTCGTGCAAAGCATCTCAAATTTCTTAGGAAGTGGCTAACGCTTTGCCTCGTTTCCCCTTCCTTTCCTTTATGAAGGAAATTTACAGACATGAAACAATGAGACAGCTTGGGATATATGATATATCCTGTTTTTTGATAGATAGCGATGCTGGCATTTTGAGAAAGTTTAGTGTTTGAAAGCCTTATAGATATGAGAAGAGAGCATACAGCACAAGCCACTATAGCAACCAAGGTTGCAATAAAGACATCCTGTGCGGCATGATCCTTCCTCGCAGCTGCATACAATTAGAGCACAACTTTTAGTGACTTTATCAAAAGAACCAGTGCGTCACCTCTGCTTCGCAGAGGCTCGCACTGGTCCTACTAACTGTACGCTTTACTCATTCATGCACAATAATGACATTGGAACTCACCGCGCTATGCGGACTATCACGAATGATTTGTAAACAACTATTCATTCCAAAAGCTTTTTCATATGAGATCGGTAATTTCGCATGAACGAAACTTTTGCCAAAAGAACAAATACAGATTTGAATCGGTTTTTGGACTTTTCACGGTTTGGTATTCGCCATAAGATGCAATAATCAATGTGGGCCACATCTCTGTGCAAAAATCTTCTCAAATGACCGAGTAAAATCTTGCAAATTGCACAGTTACGCAACTTATACCTTTTGGCGCCGTTTTCGCGAAGTAAAAAAGTTTGGTTCAATTTTTTAGGCTAAAGTCCATGGCTTGCATACTAACTTGTGAAACATATTGCAAATATTGATTTTGCAAATAGTCGTGTTACACGCTCATTTTTACCGACCAAAAGCCAAGTGGATCCGTCTGACGTGTGATTTTCAAAGGATCCACTGAACGGATCCGCTCAAGCTTTGGTATATTGGACTCTCATGTTGGTAGCATGCGCTGTGCAAAATTTGGGCTTAGGATGTTGGCTGGCAACCGTTCCACGAATTTCGTGACAGACAGACATTCAGACACACACACACAAAAACACGTAAACGCTCTTAGCACGTTATTATAGTAGGATTCTAGCAAAAGCATCTGAAAGACAGATTTGAGATCAGCGCATCGAAAATGTATATTGATATTCCAAAGTCACTATTTATGCATCGCCTGTTGTAAGAAATGAAATTTGTAATATTCCGAGCATTGACTGATAGTTGGTGGCCATGACTGATTTTACTCCAAAGATTGAGCCTTGAAAGCAGATTCACCAGATTTGAAGTATACTAGATATCAAGGGAATTCAAAAGGGGACCCCCATACTAAGCACCCAAGTCCTATTTTTTTCGCGTCGACACTTTGCTTTCACGTGGCCCGCGGAGCGCATTTCGGCTCGCGCTAGACGACTCGTCGGTTTCCCCATGGATTTTTCACATGTCTTTCCATAGAGACGCCCTCTTTCTTGGTATGACTGATCCTATGATCAAAGCGAAATCAGTACGGAACAGCTCCTTCGCGTTGCTTCTGACGCGCCTTCAGAGAACGGAGTTTTGAATTTGTACGCGAACTGAGCCCGTATAGCGTCATACAATATCAGGAATCTTGTAAATTGTAAAGTAAATCCCAAATTCTGGTGTAACATTGCCTTCAAAACCCTTATTCCAAATCTGCTTTTGCAATCAGCAGAATCTTCAGAAATTTATTGTTTTTGTCCAGTGACGCATAATTGACGTTTGATTTTATCGTGAGTTCTCAAAATCACTGCGGTAAGAATTCAAGCGCAGTAAATGTTTTTTGATGGTGTAGAGAGCGGAACGGAGCTATTTATTGAAAACTGATTTGAAATCAGCTTCAAGGCTCACTAACGCATAGAAATTGATTGCGATTAGCAACGGTCATAAAGTATTGTTTTTCGAATTTAATGTTCAAGAGCTGGGCACACATAATAACGTTGTTAGGCGCAAGCGATTTGATTGAAATGCTTGTTTATAGGCTCCGCAGAAAGCAGATTTTCAGCGTGAATGGTAGTCACCACACAAAAAATAAAATTTTTCAGAGCTAATCTCATTGACTTTATCATATTATGAAAGCGTGGCTGTTTATTCTGTGTATGATGAGTTTTGCCATCCACGCCAGCATGACTGCACCTCCGGGAGATTGGTCTAGCTCGGAAATGCGCTATGATGATCGGTTAGTACATAGTCTCGCCTCTATACTAATAGAATTGCTCTTTGGTTCAACGGGATTGGCTGCTGGCAGGCGTCGCCCTGCGACGCAGTCTGCTTCTTTCGCGCGTGCTTTTTGATAATTCCATTGAATTGAGGCCTCGAAGCCCGCATCCCAGCCGCCAATCCCTTTGAATCAAAGGGTAATTTGTTATCATCAAAAATTTTTTCCAAAGCATTTGCAATTGCAGCGAAACGGTTCGTCAAAAAAGGCATCACGGCTTTGGGCATGGATATGGACATCACTATGACCATGGTTATGGTTATGGATACGGAGGATTTCCATGGTTTAATCATTTCTTCCACTGGTGAAAACGTTCTTCTAAAGTACTCAAATGATACTGTCTCCCCCTTACTGTCTAGTGTCAATGTGATATTCACTCATTCGTCCCATTATGCGTAACTGTAAGTTTCCATAAGTGAAATGCAGTAAATTATCATGGATGAATAAGTATGATGCAATGTTATGTTACGCTGAAGATTCCTTCAAAGCATCGCCAGCTTAGCAGCAACCGTCAGTGTTTACCCTTCCATAGGAAAGGCCAATCACTGATTGTATTGTCAAGCATTAAGGTTACGAGCAGTTATAGTTTTAGTATCTATTTTCCTCTGAGCGTTGCTTTAGCAGGCCACTCAGCTTTTTATAAAAGATTAAGGAACGTTTGGGCAAAGCGTAGTCTCTTTTTACGTCAAAATCCCGGTAGGACAATCCTGAAACAGTCACTTAAAGACTTGGATTATTAGAACTATATTAGCACTGTCTAAGGGAAGGAAAAGCGGGACTAGATTAGTTTTGAAATGATTTCAAAATATACGTAAAATGAGATAATACAATACTTTTGTATACAACCACTTCTAGTTTTAGAGAAATGGCATGGATAATCAGAATCAGGTTAAAATCTAATTTACAATCTCATCAAATCACGTTAATTCTACGAAATTTTCCTCTGAGTCAACGATGGCTTTGAACAGCCTTTGAAGAAGGAAAGTTTGACTATTGAGACTACGTCCTCCTCGATTGCACAGCATTTCGTCCACCTTGCTTAAAATAGTAAGCCCTCGGTTATACCTTGCTCAATTATGGAAAATCTCTATTGTTGGCGACTTTAGATGCACTAATACCAATACACCACTCGTTTTCTGAATATACACAGGCGCGAAGTTTACATAAGTCGATACAAACGTGTCGAATCTTAAAGCGCTTAAGAAACGCGGCGACCGCAATCGCGCGAGGTGTGACCAAAATAAAAGGCGAACTCAGACATTCGCCATTGAGTCCCGCAGGACAAAATGAGGTGTCGTCACGGAATGCCTGCGCGACTCCCGAAATCGGTGTCGGGACAAAATCAGGATACCTGATTTTGTTTCGGGACAAAACTGCGCGATAAAATCAGGTGTCCCGACGGACACATTCCGGACAAAATCGGGACACCTGCGGGAGACACCATAATGTCCCGATCGCGTTCAAAGCAGGCGGCCTACGCCCTTAATAATAGGTTTTTGCGTCCTCTGTGTCCTCTCTCACGCCTCTCTTTTCACTTACCTTAGTCCTTGGTTTCTTTGGGTCCCATTTCTCACGCTTATAACCTGCTAGTAAAACCCAGCCTACGTCGTAAAATTTATTAACAAATAACACAGATTCGAAACAGGTTACGAACAACTACAACAAAATGTAGACAAAGCATCAGGCTTCCTCGATGTCCTCGACTTCATCTTCTACGCATTCGGTATTCTAAATTACCACGTCTTCCTTAGTGATACCGATACTGTTACCTCCAGTGTCTTCGATAACAACACGCTTTTTCTGAAAACCAAACTTATCAATACCAGGATCACATAAAACAAGTGAATCACCTTTGATGGAAGAAGAGCGGATCTTTCAGGGTCAAAATGATATGTTCGAATGTCTGCCCTGTAAAATTATAGTTCAGAGGTATCGCTTCTTTTAACAGTGTGAGAACTCTCAGTGCTCTCCCAATTGCTATTCTTGCAAGGCCGCTCCAAACCACTCTTGCCTCCGAGAGCTTGTTAAAAAATTTCTCGCGAGCGTCGTCCTCTTCTCCTATGGACATCAACCACCTAAACTCTAGTGCACATGAAGGTCTTTCGAGAATATACATACCTGTTTGGATTTTGCTTATGTTCATTTGGGGTCCGCAGGAGTTCGTCGCGGTACAGGCCCAGAGCGTCAAGCACGAAACCTAAATCAGTTATTGGAGTTATTGTACTTGAAGACACATCGACCTACTTATTAAGAATTCGACCACTCCTTCTGAAAGGTCTTTAAGATGATCAAACTTCCCCTTCTTCCCGCTCTGCCTACAGGCGTAGTTTTGAATTTCCGTTGGAGGTTCGCAGGCCTAAACGGTAATTTATCCCTATAAGTTCTCATCACTAATGATCAAATAAAAGCACTAGGTAAATTGAGAGATGTAGCTCGATGTGAGGGTTGAGTGAATGACAACGTGGAGCACGGCCTCTACAAGCTGCAATAGTAATTGAAGAAAACATAAACATGATGTCATCAGGTGGAAAACTAATATAATATTGATGGAGTACTGAAAATCACACTGTTATAAAACCTCCACCTTTGAAAAGCCAGCATGAGGGGTTGAAATGGACGTACAGTATCTGGCCAACGTCCATCGGCCAAAAAATGAGACGGTTCCAACAAACAGAGCCTAAACCTTCCTAAAAGGCCTTGTTTTAGCCGTTTTTTAGATACTAGCAAAAGAAAAATACCGTGTTTTTTTGACTAAAATTTTAGAATTTAGTCTCGCCAAATTACACCTAACCCAAGTATGCAGAGATGGGCTACCTTGCAAAATACTTATCACTCCTGGACTCGCCTCAAAAAATAACTTCAGCGGCATAGGAACTCACCGTAAAAAACAATTCTGAAGTTCTTAGAGGAAAGAGAGGATACTCAAATAAGAAAGAAATATGATTTTTTTCGTCCTGATAGTACTTCTAAGAAAATGCAGCGAAAACAAAGCTTTTCAACAAGTTTTAGGCTCTGTTTGACTGGGGCATCTTATATTTCGGCCGATGGACGTTGGCCAAATACTGTACATCGTTGACATGAACTCAATACTGTTGGCAATTTGAGCATCGCAACCCCCTTGCAAAAACCTGGACTTACTTAGGGTGCAGGAATAATGGTAAGCCTGGCTTATGTGTGACTCGGGAAATAAGAGCGGGGCTTCCTTGGAAGTTGAGTTGAAAATGAAACTGACCCTTCGGCAGCAATACAGAATGAACTAAATAATTCGAAGTTGTACTCGTTCAAAATGCGCCCGCGCTTCGGGACAAATTCGCAACAAAATCGGGATAAAACTAAAATGATGACTCCCGCCGGTGCACCGGATTTTGGTGCGATCACCTATTTTGTGGGCGGATCTCCTGCGGAAGTCAATGGCGAATGTCTGAGAAAGAGCCGAAAAAAATCAGCTGCAGCTGGAACATGAAAAGGGTTCCTTAAATGAGTGTAGGGTACAAGCTTTGCACATCTTTATTAAAAATTTTCATGAAAAATCAAACGTAATTTGACTGCTCCAAAATGCAATGAAAACGCGCACATCGATGTTCAGAAATTTTACCTATGCGTGTTCTCAGTTGGCAATGATATTCTCGTAGAAAACTTACAGGAGCTTTACAGGATCGAGTGCTCTTAACAAATCACAGCCTTCCGAAGTTGTAAATGCAATGTTCAATAGTTTTTGTTGCTTTTTCACACAGACAAATCTATCATGATAGCGATAATCTGTCGATGTAATGTGTGCTCGTAAAGCCTTTCCATTACAAAACGCCTATAAACTGATACATTGAAGTTTTGCTCCATGTGTCTGTGTAGACTTTTTGTCTGTTACAATTTTCATTGAACCATATAAAGCCATTTTTTTCGAGTCATAATCCTGCTCGTTTATATGTGTTTCTGTGTGTTTTGCGGGCCATTTATCCTTAAAATCTCGGTGTGGAACTCTCTATAGACAAAATGACCGTGTGTGTTTTCGATGCAAAACGCATGCGTGCGGGTTTGATCGAACGGGTTTGTCATTTCTTTTCAAGAGAGTTCATGATTCTCTACCGGCTTGTGACGTCTTTTTGCTTAGTCGGCAAGCAATATCCGAGAGCGGCCACTATCAAAAAAATTGATGATGGCCGCTACCAAAGTTTACGCTAACAACCGAGTAAAAAACGACTCCACAATCTTTTTTAGATTTTCTGGAAAATTATAACTGCTGGGAAGTAAACAAGGAATATTTTTTTCTTATTCTAAACAATTTCTTTGAAAAATTCAACCATTTCCTGCAGAAAAAAACTTTGATTTATCTTCCTACGGCTGCAATCAGCTGTTCGCAAATCCTTTTTGTCCCGACTGTTTCCGTGCCATCAGGTAAGTTTATGTGTCCCATAACTGACGTGCAAACATCTAACGAGAATTCCCTTTGACCTTACACACTATTTTTACCAGAACAACTTACGCGTTAGGTCAGCTTGTTTCAACACTGCATATGAGAAGCAAATCACGTGGAGCCTGTCCGCATTGTCAAAGGTTTTGCGAACGGATAGCGCTTTCGCTTTACAGGACAAAAGGACGAGGAGACGCAAACAAGGGCTCTTGTCCGATATGACGTCGTTCGATAGAGCGCGAACCGTTGTTCGGCAGACGCCCCTCAGTCTAGTTTCAGCCTAAAACCTGATCAAATCTGACTTTATGACTTATCTACTTACGAGCAGCGCGCTCTTACTGCGGCACATAACTGGACGTTCTTCCAACAGTGGAAATTGCATTCTCAGAGCAAGGGAAGGTTTGCGGTCATAAGTCCCTAACAGATTCTTCTTACTGTGACTGAGATTTACTACGCTCAACACCCAAGCACTCAATTTTCTATGTTGATTTGTCAATCAAAACACAATTTTCGAGATTCAACTTTGAATCAAAGTAATACTTTTTGTCAACCATCTTCCTCAGCTCAATAAAACTGTAGCAGACAGAGTATGACGAGTATGTGTTGCAGACTATGCAACACATACTCGTGATGCCACTACGAAAACGTTTTTTGGCCGGAAAACTACCAAAAACTATTTTTTTGGAAACCTCTCAACTAAAAAAGCATGATTTGCTCTCGAATGCCGCGAAGTGGCTTGCACAAAACTAAAGTAAAATAAGCGTTACCCCAAAAAACAGAAATGACTAAATGATTAGATTCTTGTTAGCTCTCAAGTTCACTGATTATTTTCAACAACCACGCCTTTTTTATTTTGAAATTTGAAAAGGAGCTTATGTCGATTTGAAACCAATCTGTTCTAAAGAACACCGATTGCTATGATATCATATGGTCAACTTTATTTAGAGTGGCAAAAACTTTTTCATTATCTACTTCTTGAACGTGTTCGTCGTCTGCTAGACATATGGACACAAATGGGGATTTACAGACGTAGGCGATTCATAAAAACAACAATATTTTCTGTATTCATATATCACGTATACCAAACGTTTAATTCAGTTTTCAGTCCACTCATACTCCGACGTCCAATCGCTGCTGAAGGGGCTGCCTCCTGCGATTTCAATCATTCAAAGAGCCACTTTATTCATGTTTGACTTCGTATGCTTGAGGCAGTCAGCGTTTCAAAGAGCAGCTAAGAAGCTTTCATCACCATAAAGAAATATCCAACAGTTCACTGGGCGAATCAGTATTATCATGACTTGCTACCTTTCACTTCCAAGACGTATAGTCAAAGTAGCTGTGCCAGCACAAAGTTCGTAATATGATACCGGTTAAACAAACTGATAGACGCGTGAAATTAGAGAATTTAGCCACTTTTCTTGAAAGGATTTTATCTTTGCACAATTGTCCCAACTCAACCATTTAGTCAAAGCTTTTCAAAATCAGGTCCTGTATTGGCGTCATTTGTTATGCTTGCCACAGTTAGTCATTGTGAAAATGAATCCAGAAAGCGCTAGCAATAAACGTTTATGTATTTGGCATTCTCAACTGTTCCGCTATTGTTGGATGCTATGAATGGCTATAGAAACGAAAGCATTGTTCATAATTCAAGCCTTTTCTGATGTCATATGACACTTGAGCACTTGTGCTGAATTCCAAAACTTCTGCCATTTGTTTTACCCCTTCGCATTCTGGCTATATAAGAGCTTGCGCCGCAGAACATTACAGCTTCATGATGTACTCCATTCTTCAATGCATATTTACAGCTATTAGAATTACTAAAAATTTAGCTTCTTCTTATTAGATTTGAAGACTTTGTTTTCGAAAAACCACAGTAAGCTTATACTTTACAGAATGCCGCGAAAGAGCGCGCATAGCCGCCGTTCAAATAATACAGGGTGGGGCAAAAGTCTGGGAGCCTAGTACCTTTTCAAATAAAATCAGAAGGAAAGTACCTAGGAACAAAAAATTTGGTGCACACATGAATCGAAGCTTTACTAATATAGCGCTGCTTTCAAATTTTGAGATTGCCCCTTCTGGCTTCAAAGCAGCCCTTTGAAGTCTTGGCGAGTCCGACTGTCGTGGCACGCAGACAGTGGTGATGAAATTCGTCCCACGCCTTTACGATAACTGTTTCTTTCACCAGACAAATATGCGGTGTGATAGATCAAGCTTTTGCTACAACGCACTGCGAAGAAATTTTTTTTCGCAGTGTTTAGGGAAAAAATTTAGGATTTTAATCAAAGGCAATTGTACTCGTATACTGGAAATCTGGATGCGATTGCGCGAACGGGAGCGAAGAATCGTAATCTGAAAAGTATTGAAATTGCTTGATCGATCGAACACCAGTACACGCTTGCATAGAAGACTCATGGAAAGAATATAGCCTAGAATTCAGTGCCTGCTGTGCCCCTATAGCTTTGAAATTTATTCTAAAGAAAAATGGCCGCTGGCACGCAGCTGGTATTCGCAAATTTTTACTTTGCGTTTTTGAAAGAATAGTATCTGACAAACGCAAAGGTTAAGAATTGATAGCTCGAAGTCTCCTCTACATTATACGCATCGAAGTGCTTCAGAATATCCACTGTATCGTTAGTTACGGAATAAGTCGTGAGGACCAAAAATTTGATTTTCTCGTTTTGCAGAGCACTTGTTTGATAAATCCAACTCCTACAAAAACATATAGCAAGCATTTTCAGCCAGCAAAAGTGTGTTTTGTAGAGGATGATCGCAGCAATATGTGGCACAAATTTGGAGTCAAAATCATCATTAGTTTCTTGGTTTACAGCACTGCAAAGTAGGCTCCCAGACTTTTGCCCCACCCTGTATAACCTGCTGCTTTGTGAGAAAAACTGCTGATGAAGTTTTCGTTTATTCATTACCTGAGTGTGTTCAGATGCAAAGATAAGATAGCACATGTAAGGTGTTCCAAGAATAAGTCGAGCTTTTGACTCTAACTACTTTAATCTGAACAGCTTTTGCGGATGTTTGGGCAGCATGTTGTGAGACTGGTTTCGGCTTAGTTCTGGAACACTTCATTACTTAGGATTACGGTAGGAACTTCGTTTATGGTGGTATATCGCAAATAAACTGCGGTTTGGAACAACACTAAAAGTCTGAAAACCTCGTGCTGGACTTTTGGACCAGCTAATCCCAGCAAACAATTTTTTACATGTTTATAGAGTAGCTTAGATGGTATAGTCAGATTCTTGGTATTTTTGTTATTCTTGATGTTTTTGCTAACTATTGGTAGAATGCCAATCACGGTGCACCTGTTGTGAGAGTTAACCAGTGTTGTTGGCGCACCTTAGGCTCGTTATAGACCCAGCGATGACGACTAACGCGTAGCAAATTCTTTAGTCCTTTTGGACATTTTTTTGAAGATCATATTTTCCACAACTCTATTAAAAACTCATACCGTAATTCTGATCTGATGAATGCGATTGGTGCCGTTTTCTATTCAAAATCTGCTGGAGTAGCATTATATAATAAGCTTTAAATGTCCGCGATAACCTCCTGAACAAGAAAGTTATTGGTGGGCAAACATTTGCTAAATTTTTAGCTATTATGTCCTATGAAGGATTGAGCAATTACGCATGCTATACAACAGGTCAGCTTTGTCACCGACCAATCAAGCCGTTATACAGTTTAATCATATAGATATAAATGATTGATTAACATTCAAAATAGCCGCTTTCTTTTAACGCATGTAGAACGATTTTGAATGATTTCCAGGGCTGTCAATGCAAAACTGATAACAGCACGATGGTTGTTACTAGCCAGAACGTTAGAACTTTTTTTTTTCAGAAAAATATTTTGACTAAACGCCAGCAACATGGAAGTATGGGTGTTCCTTTTCTTTACGCTTGCTTTCGCCATGTTCGGATGCTTGGCCGCGCCTCCAAATTCCATGATTGATGCATCACCAAGCTCGGAGGTGCTGCATGATAGTAGGTAGGTACTTGAAGCTCGCCTATGAACAATATGGCCGCCCTCTGTTGGATCGAGAGACTCTTGTAAGGTAGCTTGTGATTGCAGCGAAAACATTCGTCAGAAGAGGCATCATCATTTTGGTCATGGATTCGGCGATCATTATGGGTACGGATATGGATATGGACAGTTTCCATATGGATATGGACAATTTCCGGAGGGATATGGACAATTTCCATATGGATATGAACAATGGCCCGGTCCTTTTCATCATTGGTAACAGCACCCATCCTACGTGACCATACTCAATCGACAAAAAATTCTAGCCTATAACAGTAAACTATGGTTTTGCCTCAAGGCGCCTACTTTTCAATAAATAGATTGAATGAATAACTTCCAAGCACTGTATTGAGCCATAGCAGGAAAGTTACGACTTTTATTGTATTCTCAAATTTTTCAGTAGCTAGGTTACTGATTAGAAGTCAGAATCGTCGAGTGATATCGCAACAAGTAAAAGCTGCTGAATAAAAGACATTAGTAAAAATTTATCACGAATCACTTACGAGCATCAGTGTAGCAAGCACAGCTTTTTTTGTGCACATGTTCCGATTCTTTGAGTGTCAAAAAGTGTTCATTATATGGTTACACTAGCAACCTGTTTTATCAAACGAATTAGTAGTTTTTCAAACTGCTTTCTGTAGTTTTTCAGCATAACCTGATTATGCAAACAGTACATATCCAAATGACACTGACTCAAAAAAATAACGAGTATGGTAAGCGATCTCGAACAATAGGTCTGTGACCAGGTAAGAAAAGTTTCAAACTTCTTTGTTCTATTTAACTCAACACATGGCACGATGTACAATTGTTACAGGAGGTTGTGCATTGGTATATAGTAACTTCTGAACTTGTCGAATGGAACAACCACGGTGATCAGGAACGAGTTTGTCTCAACAGTAACATTAACAACAGTCTTTAGATGAGCAAAACATAAGAATGTACAAAGCAAATAATTAGCGAGTACCGTCTCAGCAAGGTGAACGGGGGCGGCTAAAGCGGCTAGTTTGCCAGAGGAATGATATAAGGCTGCGTTCATACTGATCCCGAAGTTCGGGAACAGTTAAAGCAAAGCGTTCAATCTGAGCGCTGTGCTGGAACTGTTCCCAAACTTCCGGATCAGTATGAACGCTGCTTGAGGCATCGCAGACTCTGCATATAGCTATCATTAATCGGCGAGTCGATATAGCCTGCATAAGAGAAACGAAAAGGAGCAGAGCGATTCCACGTGACATCAGAGATGGATGTAAGCTCTTCTACGGTGCCACGTGCACCAGAAACGAGGTTGGCTTAGCTAGGGGACTCTAACGAGGGAACGACCCCAACTTAAGGTGGCTAATTGGAAAGAACCGCATACCATTAGATGCGTCTTGATGAGCTGATTTCAAATCTACCTTCCGTATCTGCGACAACGTTAATTGCAAAAAGTTATGAGCGGTTGAAAATGTGAAGTTATTGAGGTTTCAATGCATAATGTGCTTCAAAACTCAACTTGAAAGTGCACGACTCGCATGATTTTGAGTGTACTGATTTCACGGAATGCTCACATTCTAAAGATACACAAATAAGTGTTTTTGAACAACTAATTTTCGAGAAATGGCGCTGTATATCTGCCAAATTTGGATTTTTCATCGCTCACAGCTTTTACCAGAGAGCTTGTTGCTTTTTAGCTGTTCAAAAACACTTATTTGTGTTTCTTTAGAATGTGAGCATTCCGTGAAATCAGTACACTCAAAATCATGCTAGTCGTGCACTTTCAAGTTGAGTTTTGAAGCACATTATGCATTAAAACTTCAATAACTTCACATTTTCGACCGCTCATAAGTTTTTGCAAATAACGTTGTCGCAGATATGGAAGGTAGATTTGGAATCAGCTCATCAAGACGCATCTAATGGTACGCGGTTCATTCCAATTTGCCACCTTAAGTTGGGATCGTTCCCTTGTAAGAAGCAACATATCTGACGTAAGCGCATAAGCAATCCTAATGAGCATTAAGATAGATACTGGGAAAAGGTCCTACAAGAATTCACTATATACGCCACAAGTCGGTAAGGATGATGATAAGGACGCATTCTAGCAGGGACTTGTAAACGCATCAGTTAAATTCCACTGAATGAGACACTCCTGTTAGAAGCGGACTTCAACGGACATGTGGAAGAAAAGCGAGGAGAAGCCTGGAAAAGTCAGGGAGGCCACGAATACAGAACATGCAGTGAAGAAAGTGAGCTTATTCTGGTCGCCTCAGCTCACGATCTGCTCTTGGTGAACACATACTACATTAAAAAGGATGACCATCTCATTACACATAGGGGTGGCGACCGTTGAATGTAGACTTCTAGGCTATCCGACAGCGTGACCTTAAAGGCAATGTCCGGGCAAGATGAGGGTTTCGGGATTTCAGTGCCATGCGAGAGTGCCCCCCCCCTCCTCAGACACAACATCGCGCAAGTGCGACGTCATAACGCTCGACCTAAAGCAAGAAAAACGACCGGAAAGTGGGGAAACTTACGCCTTGGGGCGGGGTCCTCCGAGCTGTCCGAATTCCTGCTATGTGGCAGAGTACGCATGCCGCCACAGTTAAAATGTAGGGTCCCGCAGCGACTCTGCGTCTCTGCCTTGGTGGGGACTGTCGAATTTCAAATTGTGCGGCTTTGGAAAACGTATGTTCTCGCCGTTTTCGCGCCTTTTAATGTGGATTTTCGGATTCAGCGCGGATAACCCCCGGTAAGTGTATTTTTTAGAAATCGAGTTTTTGCCCGGACACTCCCTTTAAAAACGTAAAAATCTGCAAAGTCATTCCCGGTGAGAGCTGCATACCTCAACATAAATCATTGCTTCTCGACATCAAAATATCAATGGCTTGACACATCAGGAGAGCCACAGAGAAGGACGCACGCATAAAAGGTTGGAGATTGAACAAACATCACCGCAAAACAAGCACTGCTGATTACTCTACCAAGCCTGCAAGGGAACCCAGAGCGATTCTACACAAAGAGGAAAGATTGAGTTAACCAAGTGACACGTATAATCCTGGGGAGCACAGAGCCAGGAAAAAAGGATCAATCGAGGAATGAGGTGGTGGAATGACGGAGTGCAAAAATTCATGGACGAGAACACGGATACGTACTGGCGATGGCATAAGACAAAGTCGAAGGACGATCGCCAGACATACCAGCGAGCCAAACACGCTGCGAAGGCTTCTGTGAAGAAGGCAAAGCAGGTGTACGTGAAAGAACTCTAGGGGCAAAACCAGAGTCTCGCGAAGGAGATCGTGCAATATATCGGATAGCGAGAAGAAAAGCGGAATCTACAAAAGATCTTAAGCACTTTCTCCATATCAAAGACAAACTGGTAGGATGCTAAGAAAACCAGAAGACATCACCGAAAAATAGAGAACCTACTTCAACGAAAGGCTACTACAAGCCACACCGTCAACTCCATTCCAGAAGCTAGTTTTATAAAATGACCAGTAAGAGCAGGCACGGAAGAAGAATGGGCAAAAACAAAGCGGCAAAGCGACTGATCCACATTACATACCATTTAATTCAAATGGCTTGGCTTCGGAAAAGCGGGGTTTGGGAAGGTGGGGGAGGGGGGGGGGACCTAATTTAGGCTACTCAGACAGTCGACGGCATACTTCCGGAGCAGAAATGGCCGAGCCGCGGGGTTTCCCCAGCTGGGGATTGCCACTCGTGCTCCGGAGCCCTCTCATTTGTGCTCCGGAGACCTCCCATTTGTGCTCCGGAGCCCTCCCATTTTGTGTGCCGGACTCCTTCCATTTTATGCGCCGGAGGCCTCCCATTTTGTGCTCCGGAGACTCCCCATTTGTGCTCCGGAGACCTCCCATTTGTGCTCCGGAGCCCTGCCATTTTGTGCTCCGGAGACCTCCCATTTGTGCGCCGGACCCCTCCGGTTTTCTGCTCCGCAAGGCTGCCGCGGCATAATGTAACTAGCCCTAATTGAGCTCCAAACCCCAATTATGTCTCTAAACCCCACCCAAATTAGCCGAATACGACCCCCCCCCCGGGTGGGACTTCAGCGCGACCCTCACCCCCGTACTCTACCCCCTCCCTCTCACCCCTAGCGTTTGTAGATAGAAAATAGAAGAATGAAGACAAGACGAAACATTTATTTCAAATTGATTGCAAGACGATTTACTGAAAATTGCAGTTGTTTTGATTTGCATTCAATTCTGTTTGTGCCAGATGTGATGAGATGCAGTTCGATCACTACGGGCTTGGTTATCGGGAGGAACAGCTCCGGTCGAGTTCAACGTTGTGTGGTCCTCGAGCGATTCTTCCAGAAAACACACTCTGGATAACATTGGTGGAGTGGCCGTGGAGTTAATCGGAATTTTTTTAGTGATAGGTGTCGTATGTGGTTTTTCCAGATTTATAAGTGCGAAGCTCTTGCATCGAACTGTGGCCTGTCTTACGATGCTGAAAATTATGAATGTGGCTGATGTGTTATAGACAACAGATGTGTTGGACCAATGGCATGCTTGGCAAGATCACCACAAGATTGGCTGAATAGCACGCAGCTGTGTGCAAATCCAGCTAATGAAGACTTCAGTCCTAAAAAGGGACCCGTCGGTGGAAAAACGAAGGTTAGGTCTACTGCTGCTGCGTTCACCTGTGGAATTGTTGCTTTTACTAGCGAGAAAGTACTATCAGGTAGGGTGACCATGTGTAATGAAACTAGTGAACCAATAACTAAACGTATCTTGCCAAGCATCTTGCCAAGCATGCCATTGGTCTGACACATCTATAACACACCAGCCACATTCATACTTTTTAGCATTCAGCGTAAGACATCGGCCACAGTTCGATGCAAGAGCTTCGCACTTATAAACCTGGAAAAACCACAAATTACGACACCTATCACTAAAAAAATTCCGATTTACCTCCACGGCCACTCCACCAATATTATCCAGAGTGTGTTTTCTGGAAGAATCGCTCGAGGACCACACAACGTTGAACTCGACCGGAGCTGTTCCTCCCGATACACCAAGCCCGTAGTGATCGAACTGCATCTCATCACAAGCACAAACAGAATTGAATGCAAAATCAAAACAATTGCAATTTTCCTCATATCACATTGTCGTCGAATGTCCCAACAGCAGGTTTTTCGCGTTTAACGTTTCCTACTTTGAAGTGACATCGAAAATCCGTCATGAAGAATCGAGAATTTGCACCTTACAAATCCACGCTCAAAAATG